CAAAAAGACTCATAAGCTATAATGAAAATGCTGATTTAAAATGTCATAATTTGATGTGTCCACTTTCTAGAACTTTACAGTACTGGATAAGCCTGAATTTTAGAATATGAATTAATTAAATATAAGGATAAACCACGAATAATCAATTTGGTTCAATAAGTTGTTAATAGTGCATGGAAGAGCTAAGTCCATTAAAGTTTTAAAAGGACAAAATTATAACAGGTAGATAAAATATTTGTATTTGCTCTTCTGCCTCCAGTAATGCAAACCAGAAGTTGTAGAAGTTCGAATAAAGGCAGAGAATATGCCATTTCATTAAACACGAGGAAAGATGTTATTTTTCAATTCACTGTTCCTTACTTAGGACAGCTTAAATGAGTGAATGCAGATTTATGTCACCACAGAACATGTGGGTTCTGTTCTACTCTCCCTGGAAAGATCTTCAGGCCACATCTACATCAGACACAGTCAGAGTGTGACACACAATTGTGTCAACAGTTAACCCAAGCCAGACCAAGGGCAAAGCACTGTGTGTCCTAGTTTTGAAAATTCTGTAGCATCAGTGAAATAAACATAAGCTATGTCCATGGCCCTATATCCAGTTAGAAATCAGAGGGAACAATTTATAACAGTTTTTTTTTTTTTGTATTCACATCTTTTTTTTTCTTGTGGTATTAGGATTTGAACCTAGGGCCTTGTGTACGCTAGGCAAACCTTCCACCACTCAGCTACACTGCCAGCCTGGGCTCTGTTGTTTTTTCCCCCTCCCTCTTAAACCAAGAGTAATTATTCTACTATTCACACAAAATTGCCCCAAATGTAAATGCTAGAAGTCTCTAGGTTCACAGACGTGATTCCCAGGCAGTGGGAGACCTGAGGACATGTGGCTTCTTTTTGCTGATTCAGCTCATAGATGTCTGTACTACCAGGAGAAGACTAGTTTTCCATTGCTAGACTTTATGGGCAGTAAATTAAATATTCCTGACCAAAGGCAAACCAAGGTTTAATATTAGGTCCACTTAGATGTATTGACAGTTTAAAATGCTGAGTAGAATGTGAGTTAAGTTGACAGATTAATTGCCCTCAGAGGAGCACAGACGTTCAGCACCAACCGCACACATCTTGTTGCTATTTCTGATCCAGAGACACAGCTGATAAGAATAAGAGCTCTGTATTTTCTCCATCCAGGAATACTTTAATCACTGAAATGTAATAGTCTCAGCATTGTTCCTTTTGTCTGGAATTATTTGGGGATGTTCTTCATTTTAACATGAAAGTGATATCTTAGAAGTAGAAAAGGAGCGAAATCAATAAAATGCACATGGAGCCACTGGTTTTAATTTGTGCACACTGCTATTTGAATTTGTGATGCCGAGACCTCCAGAAGGAAAAATACAATGTCTTTAAGGAAAAAGAGAAAACATAATTATATGAAGAGAGGGGAGAGGGGAGAGGGGGAGGGAGGGGGAGGAGGGGAGGGAGAGTTGAAGACAAATAAGTAATAAGGAAAAAAATAGGCTAACAAAAGCTAAAAGACCTTGAATAGAAACCAGCACTTATTGGAGCCACCCTCTTCCCCACCCCACAAAAGCTATGTTCTAGCTGCACTGTAGGAAAGCACCCAGCAAACTTATATAGAAGTTACCCACTACAAGAGTATTTAAGAATTACATGTATAATTATGGTAAAATTGAAAAACATTTTTTTTTCAAATCTAGCATAAAAACCAAAATCAATGTTCTTTATGATCTCCGCATTAATTTTTGCTTAAGATATAACCAGAGGCTACAAAGTAGGCACAGTTTACTAACCAAGGTGTTAGCCGCCATGTGGGGGCTGGAACCAAACCCAGGTCCCCCGCAAGAGCAGGCAGTGCTCTTAACCGCAGGGCCATCTCTCCAGTTCCATAGTTCTATCTTTCCTTCTTTTTTTCCTTTTTCTTTTTTTAAAAAATAATGGTATCCAAACATTTTTAGACTAGAATTGCCTCATCTAAAGAAAACATACAGGGATGGGAATTCACGTAGGCATGAGAACACTTGTTTAGCATGCATGAAGCCCCGAGTTTCATATTTAGTAACAAAATACACATAAATAAATGGGAAAAAATTAAAAAAATAACATCTAGAACTTCACTAGCTGAAAGAAATAAGCGTTGAGTTTAAAGAGATGACTTAGTGGTAAAGCATTTGCCAAGCAAGCATGAGGACCCGAGTTTGGATCCTCAGTATCCATGTAAAAGATCAGGCATGGCTACATGTGTCTGTAATCACAGCTCTAGAAGGGTAGAGCTAGGCAGAGCCTGGGAGTAGCCAACCATCTGGCTGAAATGGTAAGCATCAGGTTCAGCATGAGAGCCTGCCTCAAAAATAAGGCAGAAAGCGACAGAGAAAAGATATGGAGCATCAATTTCTAGCCCCCACACACGCACACACATATACACAGGGGGAGGGAGAACACATATACACAGGGAGAGAGAAAGAGAGAGAGAGCACATATGCATGGGGAGAGAGAGAGAGAGAGAGAGAGAGAGAGAGAGAAATTAAATGGAGTAGGACCAAGAAGTGTTCATACCTGTCAGCATTAGCTGTTGTTTTCCCTACATCCTCACCATACCCTGAACCTTCAAAGACATTATTCTATTATATAAAAATACTTTTGTCCATTTCCCATGTACTGGTTTAATCATTGTACTCATTTATGCAAAACAGTCCTGGCACTGTGTCCCAAATTTTTTGGATGTCAACCAATGTGCTTCCTTATTTCATGTCCTTACAAAATTAAAAAAAAATTCTTCAAAGCATAAAAATTTGCTCCTTAATAATTAGTAGATGTGAAAAACATTACCATTGAAATCTACCTGATGACATTATATCCATGCTCAGATGCCAAGGAATTCTGAAAGTAACCGGCTGTGACTAGTAACAATCAGATATATAAAGATTACATATGCATGTGCAAACATCTAAGTGTTAATTGCATTAAAAATGAATTTTTCTGTATGAAACTGTATTTTAATAATGAAATGGAGATCTTTTTTAAAGGTTAAAACCTCACTCAATTTTTATGTCTTATAGGGTTTATACTGAGTACAATATTGTATAACTGTAATAATTCAACTGTAAACTAAAAAATTTACAGCCAATTTTGAAAGAGATGCATCTTAGCTCTGGAACTTGTTTTTGAATATGTCAATGCTACTGTAATGAAATGCTTCTTCTAATAATGTGGTTAAATAAATAATTTTTAAAAAGTGATTAAAAAAATCCTGAACACAATAGAAATTAGTTGTGGGTAGTTTGGAATTCACTGATGCCTGGAAGTTGCTCACTCTGAAGAGTGAATCAGTTAAAAGTTGTATTATGTTGCATATTTATTTAAAAATGCATCTCAGTCTCAAAGTGAATTTGGAATGTTGAAAATAGTGAAGTCAGTACAGTTTCCTGAGAACTAAAATGAAATTTTAATGTGAAATCTATTGTTAGGAGGGGAAGCCATTAACACACACACACACACACACACACACACACAAATGCACACACACACTCTTATACATAAACCCCTACATCCACACCCACACTCCACACAGTCCCTCCTCCCCAACAAAAAAAGGGATTAGATTTAAAATGTACAGAATTTCATATGGGACAACACGAAGCAAGCTGGATAATCACAATCTTTGTATTTGCTGAATAGACATTTCTTAGAATGTTCTTCAGGTTATTTCTGGAAGATTCCACACTCCTTACTGTGCCTCAGAGGCAGTCACTTTCCATTTATCAACAAAGGAGAGAAGGTTTATGCCTTGTCTAACTTCAGGATTGCAGGGTTCCATAAGGAGCACAGTCCCCCAGCTGAATGTGGGGTTATGTTAGTATTATGTTACACCTTGGCCAACTAGTTCTTTAGAGCTGTTTCATCTAGATGTGACCAGAATTTTATCTTAAAATATACTTTTAAATATTTTCCAAAGGGAATATATTAGATGTTTTCTGTAGTCCAAACGTTTATGTGTTCCACTTACATAAAAAACTTTGGGAAAACAATACTGTTACTGTGAAATAACATACTGCACACTGCTTAATGAACTCTGTTCACTGAAGTTGACCAAAGGATTTCAAAAGTTTTGATTCCTGCCCCTTTCTTGACAAGCCTGTGCCCAGTTTAGGACATGTCCTATTCTTATAGGTTCCTCTACAATTCTGTTAATACCTATGTGCCAAGTTTGTTTCACTCAAATAAAATAAAATAAAAAATAAGTATTCTGGTCATTTCCATTTCTGTTACACACAACTCAGAACATGGATGGGGGAGCACTACACCTATCAAGATGTGAGCTCCCTTTTTTAGGCTTCTGTTTCATTGAATGAAAATGCCCCCCATAGACTCCAAGTATTTGAGCATATTATCCCAGTTGGTGGCACTGTTTTGGGATATCTTAGAAGGTGTGGCTATGCTGGAGGAAGCATGTCACTGGGCAGCGGGATTAGAGAGTTCTTAAACCTTGCTGGATCTTGAGTCGCTCTCTTACTTCCTGTGCCTGCTTGAAAATGTGACAGCTTAGCTTCCAATCCAGTCACCTCTGCTGCCATGCCTCCCTTCCATGATGGACTCTTGGCCCTTTGGAACCTAAAGAAACTAAATAAACTCTTCCTTCTCTAGGTTAGGGTTCTACCACAGCAACAGAAAAGTGGCTAATACGGCTGGTAACTCCTTTACTCATATTTCGAGCTAACCTACCTGACAGCATTCTATTATATAAGTACTACTGAACATCTTTTCAGAAAAAACTATAGCAACAAATATTAGCAATAAAAAATATTAGCTAATTTTGAGCTTCCTGTGTCAAGTGCCACATTAAATACTTTATTTTATCTCAGTCTTTCAAGTAGCTCCTTGGAGGTCGTGGCAGATAGGAGTTAAATTTGGGCATGGAGCACTGTACCTCCTTTGATGTTATCTTTGCTCTCTATGCCTCAACTCCACACAGTGATTCTCACCTTAGACCAGTCACCCATTCGCCACACGTAGCACTTTGAATAATCTTCACAGTCCTCAGCCTCCCTGGGTCTGGTGGAGAGGACACATTTCTTTCTTGGGTTAGTACACCGCACAGTCCGATGACGTACACCTTTGCCACACTTGACTGAGCACTGAAAGATAATATTAGAGGGTTTGGATAGAGTTGGTGATTAAGAGATACTGACTACAGATTAAGGCAGGTTCAGTAATGGTTTCTATCATCTCTCATAAAGGCTTCATGCACATACAAGTCAGTTAAAAGAATAAGAGTTAAGTTTAAGGATGGTGCCTGTATCAGGCCAGTTGGTGCTGAAACAGTGTTGGAGGCAAATGCTTTCAGGAACATTGCCCCATACATAGAAAATAATAGAACATTAGGATGATTTGAAACAAATAACATACCATGATCAAAATATAAGTGATACTGCATGTACAATTATGTGCTGTAACTTCACCTTGTTTTTGTTGAGTCACTCTTCTGCTTTAAGAAATATTGGTGAAAATGTCATTTTCTCAAGGAATGCCATTTCTTATGAACATTTCATGAAAATAAACTAGATAAATTACTAGAGAAAATAAAATTAATTTTTATATAGACAAAATACTCCTAGAAATAATTACTTTAGATGGTCTTATGGGTTTAAAATATAATTTGGTTTAAAAGCAGTTGAGCTAATTTCACAAATAATTGATGTTTCACTGGAGATGATGAGACAGGCATTAAACACTGTCATATGTACAAACATACACACAGCATCTCTGTCTTCCAAAGGCAGGCACTAATGACTGCAGACATGGACACCAACTGGGGTATGGGCAGAGAAGTGGTTGGAATGAAACTTATATGGTAAAATGTGAATGTATAATTTATATTCACATCTGAAAGAGTTCCAAAGAGGCATGGTACACTTTTAGCAATGATTTCATCACAGTAACTGTCCTGACCCCACATCATTGCTCAGAGCAATGAGGTAGTGAGGTAGAAGCCGTGCTCAGGGCCTACTCACATTTATACATTTAATAGCACCTGAGTTCCAGAAACATGAGCATTGAAACAAGGACACTGAAAAAATTTAATCTATTTAATTTTATGTGTGTGTTTTCCCTGTATGTATGTTACTACAGCTGTGCAGGCAATGTCCATGGAACTCAGATCTGGAACTGGAGTCATGGGCAGTTGTTAGTCACTATTTGGGAACTGAACCCAGGTCCTCTGCAAGAACAGTCAGCACTCTTAACTACTAATCCATCTCTCTAGCTCTGAGAGCTGGCATTTGGATTTAGTAAATATTCTACAAAATCACAATTGTCTCAAACCATTTGAGCATTAAAGCGGACTATGCACTGTGATTTGGTATTTTAAAATTTTATAGTTCTACATTTTGCAATAGAAAGAGTCCTTGATCCACACTTTTTCTCTAGATGAACTGATTCAACTGGGTGCAAAATCTGATATAACATTAATTTTCAAAAATTCACATTATGAATGAAAATAAATGCACAAACTCCAAAAGCAAATTGGGCATTTTACTGATGTGCTTTTTGTTAGGTTGAGATAGAGAACAGTTAGAAAACAAATTATCTAAGACTCTTCATGCTTACTTTTAAAAGAGTAGCTAGTCATTTAAGAGGATAGTCCCTATTTATCACTTTAAACCATATATAATACTCTGAAGTTATATAGATGAATGATTTTGTTGTGTCTACATGGAGTGGTCTTTACATATGTATGTTAGTGTTTTTGTGTGTAACCATGCACTTACATAGTAAAATGCTTCAAAGACTTCAGTGAATATATGTAATAAGTGGCATACGTAATTATAAAAGGATACGCATAATGGTAATGGACAATGTATCACTGTGGATTCTCATGGGATGCACCTGTGTGCGGCACAGGACAAGCCATGAAGTGTGTGCTGTACTGAGCCCCGCCCTAAGTTGCAGCTCTACTACTTATGTAGATTTTTGAGTAAACGAATTCTTCTGAATTATATTATCTTCATTATAAAACAGTGAAATTATTTTCTCACACTGGCGCTTATATATAAGCAATAGCTTAGATATGAAGTAAAATCTCATTCTTTGCACATAAAATGATTGCAAAATGTTAATTTTCCTTCTTTAGCTTTTAAAAGTTCATGAAAGGAGTCAAATATGCACTTTAACATGCGCCCCTCAGGAGTAAGAGCAATATTTACACGTAAAAATAATGAGAATTCCTGAATGTATTTGAACTGTGCTTTGGGTTACATTATATTTATAGAATATAAATCTGCATTTCCAGATTCTCAAAACTGACTGTATTCCCTTTCTTACGAATAAAACTAACAGACGGTACTACACATAAACTGTTCAGTAAAACAATCCGGGTCACGACACAACACAGTTTTGTACAAACTAAGGGTCAGAGAAGGAGAAGGGAAGGCTGTGGCGTTTGCTGCACCTCGGACCACACTCCTGCCTCCCACACCGTCATGCAGTCCTGGCCCTCACAGCGCTGGGCAGCAGCAGGCTTGGGCCCCAAGCAGTCTCTCTCCCAGGCTCTGACTAAGGTTCCGTTGTTCAGTTGCTGGGTGCAGGCCACCTGCCTGCTCTGCACTCCTTTCCCGCACGTTCGTGAACAGGCCGTCCATTCTGTCATCATCCACCTGAAAGGACAGCAAAGGTCATAGGAAGTAAACAAAAAGATGTCTACCTACCACATACTGCGCACTTTTAGACTCAACAGAGTTATAGCAATTTGTTGATTTTATGCAAATCCTAATTATCTCCCAAATACTGTTTTCCATTGCTTTGAATGTTCCATAATTCTTACCTCAGCGTCTTGTTCTTGTTCAAATCTAAAGTGCGTGTGCAACGCTGATCCTAGTGTTCTGCCTGCTAATTCCTGCTCATCATAGAATAGCTTTGGGCATAGAATTGCTTGGCTTGGAATTATTCCTATTCTTTGCATTTTAAATGTCCAGGAAAGGCCTACTGAGGAACCACAACTATTGCAGAGCAAAGGAAAGTAGAGGCATACGGGGCTTCAGCGACTTCCCAGACACGGAAGTATACTATCCCGAGAGGGCAACACAAGCTTCTCCAAGCAACTGCCTAACTCTGATATGATCACAGGCATGAATTTATCAACGTAATCTCATTTTAGTGGTCCTCAGGTCTTAAATAAATTTTTTTCAGTTTACTAATCAATCGCTCAGCCAACATGCACATATTTTAACAGATGAAGAGTTTTTTTTATTCCATATAGTAATCAGGGTAGCAGTGTGTGCCTATGCGACCACCATGTCTGATGACTTGAGATGTGCCCTATGGACATTAAACAACAATCAAGTTTCATTTCCGGAAGGAACCAAGGCCTATGCTGGAGAGTGAGGGTCTCTTCCCCCATACTGTAGTCACCCTTGCTCTCATGAATGAAGTAGCAACATGCTACATGATGATGTGAAGTGAGGAGAAGGAGCAAAGCACTGTGGGTCATCACAAAGCTACCCTGCAATCGCCACACCAATAGAACTGCTGCGACCCCGGGACAGTCCATCTGATAGCCGAGATGACTCCTAAATGATTAGAAAGTTAACAGTGGTGGCTTGGAAGCAGGAGGCCAAAGGATGATTTACATCCTGAGGCTTTAATTGCATTATGTGAACAGCAGAAGTTTACAACTTACGGATTATTATCTATAGAATTTTCCAGGGTTGACAAGATGGCTCAGCAAGCCTGCCATCAGGCCTGATAATCTGAGTTCCATCCCTAGGACCCACATGACAGAAGGAGAGAACTGACCCCTGTGGGCTTTCCTCTGACCTCCATACACCACAGGGAACACACATGCACGCAAAAGGTAAGAATAGCTAGAATATTCCACTTAACTTTCTCTGATTGCAGTTAACTATGAGTAATTGAAACTGCAAAGAGTGGGCCACAGAAAGGGGGTATAGTATATGATACTAAATGCCATGCCATTCATGTAGAGGTCATGGGGCAGCTTACAGGGGTCAATTCTCTCCCTCCATCGTGGGTTGCAGGGATTGAACTCATATAGTCAGTTTTGACGGGAAGTGCCAACCTCACTGGGCCCCTTAAGTTGCTTCTTTTTCAGGGTTTTTCATCGTGGCAACAGGAAGAGTAGCAAACATGATCTGAGTAGAAATTTGAACTATTTTCTTCAAGCAAGATGGAGAAGCTGAAGACAAGGAGGAGAGAATGCACTCTGCCAGCAGGTCTTAGGAAAGTTTTCTGTGACAGCTCTTAGTGACTGCCCGTGCTCTTTCCTCTGTTCAACATGCTGTCTAACCTCAGTGATACTGTTTCTTTGTGTTCACATATACAGCCTCCCTTTCCCATGGAGGACAATAACAATTGTTAATAACAACAACCACAGAAAACACTTCTAATCTCTTGCTGCAAAAATTTCTGACTCAGAACTGAACTTACTTTTTAAAACTATTCCTTTGAACAAGTTACTATTAAGGCATTTTCTTACCATGGATGAAGGCATCAAATGAGCAGTAAACACAGTACACTTTACTCCTTCATGGACCAAGCCAGGAAGTGAGCAATATACTCTCATCCTTAAATTTAAGCTCATTCAAAGTTCCTGATGCATCAGTAAAAGCTAGTCCTTTCAACAAAATACCAAGATTATACTGCATATATAATAAAATGGTGTTTTGAAGGTATGACTATTTCATGAAATAATTTAGCATTTTAATAACTATTAAAAGGGATATGAAAATAGAAAATGAAATCTCCGTAACTGTGGTGACTGTAAGAATCCAGATTCTTTTCTGACATGATAAAGGTCAGTGGGTCTACTTGTGTGTCTGTCTAGTGCTGAGTAGAAAGGATTCAGGATCAGGATCTGCCTGCTGACAAAGACCTCACATGCTAGCCTACTCAGCTACTGCTGTGGATTTTATATTAATATACTCTCTTTTGCAAATTATTTTCAAATCATTCTTGTATTCTTTCAGAAGCATATATCCACATGTGCATTAGGAGTCTCAGTGCAGAAGAAAAAGAAAATTAAGAATCTGCCTTCAATAATTTAAAAGCATTGAATCTATTGAAAAGCAAGACTGAAATCTCAACATTATAAAGGAATAAAATATTTTTCTAAATAGCTTAAGTTTCCACAACATGGAATGAACCCAATCTGCAGGGCTTGATAACTTCATTTTACAACAAGGTAGAAATTGGGAGCAAAGAATTGGAGGCCAAACCAGACACTGAACATTTAACCCAGATGACACTAATGTATAAAGAGATCATTTAAATAGAAGAGTGAACTTTGGGTAACTGGCAATTTTGTTCCTCCCATGTACTCACCACTCTTCTTCACTATAGTAAAGAGTTGTGAGGAAGATCATTTGCACAGGGCTATACATTCTTTGCATGCCTGAGCTGTAGAGTGTCTAAACCCACCATAATTCTATTGTGTAAGCTGTTATGAGGGGGGAGATGAACTCTGACTTTTCAGTGCACCTGAGCCTCCACAAGTTCCGGAGTTTCAGATAAGGTAAACATTTTTTTCACTTTTTGTCATATCATCACTAAAGAGGTTTAGGACTTTTGATGCTAGAGCCAAGTCTTACCTAAGCTCAACACTCATTTCTAGGAGAAAGCAGTTGGACTTTCAGGTCCTAGGATGGAAGGCAGGCTAAGGACCCATGTCACTAGTCTGCTCCAGAGCCACATGCAGGCCTACTTCCTTGTCGACTTTACCTTCAGTTCCTGAGGCTGGCCTTTTCTATTGTTTCCCTACTTGCATCTGCTCAACATTAATATTTTGTCTCCTATTCATGAGCATCTTGATTATTTTGTTGCCTGGTAGTCACTGGAGAAACTATGACCCAGGTCAGGAATCTGGTGGCCAGATAGTAGGAACTGAACATTTGTCTCAAGACATTGGGGCAAGAAGTGAGGAACTGGCTAGGCATGGAAGGACTGAAGGCCCCTGCTGTTCTGCTGGGCCTGGGTCTGGCCAGGCCTGCCTTGATCTATTTCTTTCTGGAAAGTTCTAGCATCTCATATCAGATAATTTGGAAGCAAACAGCTAAATTTAAACAAACAACTACATTTTTGAAGCGATGATTTATAGTTTCTACTTAAATTTAACATCTAACCACTTACATGGGGAGGGGTTGTTTTTACCCTAAGAAAACCTTGGCTATAAATTGCAACCTTACTTTCTCACACCTCGTTTGGTTCCATGTTCATGCTTTGGTACATACTGCTTTGCAATGCTATGAAGAAAATGTGACCTCAGTAGCATTCTGAGTAAGTGTTAAAGGACAGCAGCCGCGTGGTGGCCAGAGCAGTGTCACCTCGTCTGGCAGGGCTGCTCATTGCACCTCCTAATCTGTGGCTCCGGCTTGCTTAGATATTTGCATTTCTTGTTGTCCACGATGCTGACATTCTTGCTCGTGATTTTTGAGCAGGATACTGTTGTCTTCCTTTCTCCTGCAAAGCAAAAGTAAACAGTGAAGGGGAGATGTTCAGAGCATATAATTTTCATAGATATTTTAAACCAATTTTAGGTTATAGCAATGAACATGGTGAGATTTATGAATTGTGACACAAGAGGCTTAAAGAGATGGCTCAATGGCTAGAAGCACTGACTGCTCTTGCTGAGGACCCAGGTTGGGTTCCTATCATCCACATGGCAACTAACAACAATCCATAGCTCCAGTTCCAGGGGATCTGATGCCCTCTTCTGGACTCCACAGGAACTGCATGCACCTGATAGACTTACTACATGCAGGCACACACATGCACACATAAATTAAAAATAGAAAATCTGAAAAAAACACGTTATATAAATCGCATGACAAACTATATTTCTAGGCTTAAAAATCTTTCCTTTGAAGGTAAATGTTACAAAGTGATAATGGCAGTATAAATTAATATATTATTTGAAGATTTATTGGAAGAACCCAGCCATCTTTTATCATTAAGTGGTCAAAACTGTGTGTATAGAACATTAGGATACTATTCCCCAAAGCATGTAAACAGGTACAATTCTGTGTACAGATTTTTTCACTCTTGTGTATATAACTAGCCCTCTGCAGAGAGCCACAGACAGAAAGCTTATTGTGTTTCTCAAACTTCTACTCTTAGTACTTCTGACCAAAGCCCCTAAGAATTCTAGAAATCATCATCATTTTTCTCAAACAGAAGCCATGGAATGTTTACCATATTTCACCAAATTTCAGAAATCTTACTTATCTACTATATCTGCTAAGATAAAAGTCTGTGTAGAGGAGGTGAAATCTATTTATTTATATGCTATATTCATTTTCTCAGAGACCAATAAAACACTTCTTTGATAATACTATTAGTATTGACTTTAAAAGTCTAACAAATATGTTCTAATTTATTTTTCTCTGTAAAACTATATGTAAAATCCTCATGAGTAAAAGGTTTAATACTGTGTTTAACTTACTGTTTGAGAGCAACAAACAATATTAAAGTCCGAGGGTCATGAAGGACTAAGGGGAAATCGCAAATCTTATTGGTAACTGTTGAAATGCCCATGAGTTTGATTTTATGACTATGCAATGGTACATAGGAAGGTCAGAGCATTCATGCTGGATATGCCAAACAACAAAGACTAAGCCGGCATCAAAGAGGTCACTCTGTCACTCAGTTAACAGAAAGTGATGCTGGCATCTGGAAGGACCAAAGGAGGAGGTGGCATAAATTATTTAATTGTAAATTACTTTTTCCTTTGACTTCAGTGAACGATTAAGAGAAAATGGGGTGGCCATATAACCAAAGTGGCATCAAGAACCTTTCCTTGATTTCCTTTTGATCAACACTGTGCATACCCCGCCATAATTTTTAGTACACAAATGTAATACATCTACACATAAATACAGGTTAAATGACAGTTATATCTGTGATTATTGCAAATCAGTTTTAGATTTTCAATGAAGGGAGGATAATGTGGAAAAAATTCTGTTTGTGAACAATCTTAGGCTTTCGGTGGCATGCAATAGAGTCAACACAGACAACTGAATGGCAGGCAGGTAACCACCCCTTTTCCAAGAGTGGGAGGACTTATGCCTCCTACCAAGACACTGGCACTCTGAAACATGGGTCCATGTGCCAACAGAGGAAAGCCCTTGAAGTGATCTCCAACCATAAGTTAAAAAGTGCCCTTCAGGACTGAAAAACTACAGAAAACTCGTGCTTTCTAAACAATTGAATTAGGAGTGTTCTTCCTCCACACAGCACATGGCCTGGACTGCAGTCCAGATGGCTGGATTGCAGCCTCCTTAGCCAAAGACTTAATGCACAAACTGCTGAAGGCAACAGCGATCTCGCAGACTTCAAACACCTTGCAGAGCTTGCATCTTATGAAGCAAGAAGACCTGATGCCACCACAGAGAAGAAAGTATCTTTTAACCTTCAGGCAAACATATAGCAACCCATTCAAGCAATTCTTTGCAAGGTCAATAGGGTGCAGAGTGCCAGTGGACTTGATCACAGCAGTGCTCGACACCTATCAACTTTAAGTAATCTGCACACAAATTGCTAGAGAAGCACAAGGAACTTAGGTTTGTTTTTCTCCATAGAGAAAATGGGGCCCATGAAAAGTTTGTGTTTGTTTTCCCTTTTCAATTTACTTAAAGTCTTTTATGCATCAAGGGGGGTCTTTTTTATTGAGCTTTTAAAAATTAATACATTTCCCATTCAAATCTAGGCTCTCTCTCCCTATCCATGCCTCCTGCTGTCCCCCCACCGAACCCTATGTACTCTGCCATACATGCTGACTCCTATTCATTCAGGGGTTTGTATACAAATGTCCTTCAGTATAAATGCGTTCACTTCCGTCTGTCTAGTCAGTCCATCCAGTGGTCGTATGTAAGTCATACTCTCTCTCACCCAGCAGCAAGTAGTCTCAAGTAGTTCTCAATCTAGTCCTGGCCCGCCACCCAGTTCTCATCTCCCCTTTGGGTCCTTGTTTAATTGAGCTGACATGGGTTGTTGTATGAGTATATTGAGCAGCTAATCAAGCAATTTTTTTTTATAATGATGGCACATGAATTACTTCTACATTATTATGACGAATACTAAAAACACTATTAAAATCAATATTACTTTTGTAAAATATTAGTTTATAGAATATGGTTCTTTAATCTAATTTAAATAAGAGCACTTTGCTAAGTAAATCACATGGAGGACAATCTAGAAATTTTTTGCTGAACATATATGTACTTGCAGACTACGCGTCTGCATGTTTTTTCAGTTCCTCAAAAGTGCCTAATATTAAAAGGAAACTGTGAAAATGATTTATCCAGAAGTGTTTTACTTTTGTAGCTACTGCATTAGGGGCCCATTTTCTGTATGTAATAAATTAGAACCTCAGTTTGTGCATCTCTAGTGGTTTATGTGAACATTATATTTGAAGGTGATGGTGTTGGATATTGGTAACGACGAGTTTAAGGTAGTTATGTTTACCCAGCGAGAACAGATTAAGCTGTTTAAAAAACCTTTTAGGTATCACTATATCAAGAAATTAGCGGAGTGTGGTATTGCACGCTTTTAATCCCAGCACTCAGGAAGCAGAGGCAGGCAGATCTCTGTGAGATTGAGGCCAGCCTCATCTACGTGCTGAATTCCAGGCTAGCTGGGGCTAGAGGGAGACCCTGTCTCAAAAACCAAACAAACTAAATAAAACAAAAAAGAAATTTAGGTAGTGCTTTACTGGTGCTCTAAGAAAGCACGAAGTGTACGATGCATAAAGAGAGCAAAAACATTTCCACAACAAAGCAACGAAACTCATGTCATAAGCTTTAGGCAGTTTGGAGAAGTTGAGCCCTATTTTGTTTATTTCATTGTTTAAAAAGAACATAATCATGAAAGCTGTATTACTCAAACACAGACACATTGTGCTTATGAAAATAAAACCAAAACCCACATGGAAATGTCATTGTTTGAATTTTTTCTTTTATGTGCTTTTATTTGTCAACCAATACAGGCAGTTTCAATTCTAACGTCTAATAGCTGTATCTTCAGGATGTCTAAGATTGTAGAACCTGGCAGCCAACAGTGTGAAGTAACTTGTTTTCTGCCACCACTATGAAGCTATGTGCTGACAGCACACAGTACTTGTTTATGGCAGTTAACTAATGTCACCTTTAGGTTACACTCATTTCAACAGTCTCGTGGAAATCTGTTAGCATGTTTCAAATTTAGTGATAAGAAAAATAAGCATTATGCTTATAAGGACTACAAATTTCCCCCCAAATTTTTATTTATTTTCAATAAATATAAGTGTGACAACCAAAAGTAAATAGACTAAGATTAAGGTCATTTTCCTGAGCTCATAGAATTATGTAAATTACAGTGAATTATGGAAATTATATAAAAAGCTGATTTTTTATGTATGCATTCTATAAAATTGATGAGCTTAGACAATTATGACATATAGTGTTCTTGGTCATTTTTCTAAACCTTCATAAAATATTTTCCCTCAGGGTTTTAGATTAATAGTGAAGTGAATTTTTAATTCTATTTTTTTTAGTAAGTAGTTTTTCTACGTTGCTCATAACCTTCAACATATAATCCAATCTGTTCATGCCATTTCCACACATATAAATATTTTAATGAGATCATATAACTTTCAAGTTCGAGTTTACTTAAGTACTAGAGTCACATTCATTGACCTTCAGGAAATGGTTTTCTTCCTATTCTTATGATCAAGTCAATTCTTATTTCCCAGTCCTCAGACTTTTCACTCAGATGACAAACACTCCTACTAGCCCCAGTGACTGTGGAAGGCTTTCTAAACCTCCCTAGAGGGCTCTGCTTGGAGACTTTCTTGCCTGCTCTGTTGGTCTGTCAGTGACTTCCCTGAGAGCAGGAAGCACTGCTCTTTACTTCATCCAGCAACAGTGGATAAAGTTTATCTCAATACTCAGATTCACTGAATGATGAAAGACTCATTTGCAAACAAAATGACAAATTATAGGAAGTAATTAATTAATGACAAACCCAGTCCATGAATCATCATGTTGCCATTAAAAATCAAGTTTGTAAAGGGCTTACGGCAATATAAAAAGGTTTTATTATATTTAATAAAATGGAAAACAAAATTATATTTTACCACAGAGTAAAATAATGCACAGAAAAATGGTAATTGTATTTTAGTGCATTTTCTTCGGTTAATGGCATATATTTTGGAACATGCCTACAATAGTAACTTTAAAACTGAAAAACATTCAGACATGGTGGCACATGCCTTTAATCCCAGCACTTGGGAGGCAGAGGCAGGCAGATCTCTGTGAGATAGGGGTCAATTTAGTCTATATAGTGAGTTTCAGGCCCACAGAGGCTACAGGGCAATCTTGTCTTAATAAACAAAACCCAGAAAACACAAAACCTCCAAACCAACTTTACCATTAAAAATATTTTCTGCCTAACATATTCTAAAATATTTAAAGGCACAGCCATCT